CATAGTATTTAAACCCCAAGTTTGAGAAAACAGGAGATTGCCACACATCGGAATGAATTAATTGCAAAGGAACCACACAATTATGAGTAACATCAGAAAAGGGCAATCGTTGTGATTTTCCTAAACGACAAGCAACACAGTCATAAGTAAAGCTAGAGCTAGTACATAAGGATTTATTGTGTCTAAGAAAATGCAAAACTTTGTCACCACAGTGACCTAATCTACGATGCCAAACTGGACCAGATGCTGACAGAGATGCTAAGGCTAGCGGAGAGGAGGACGGCAGACGGATAGGATAAAGTGGCCCATTACTGGAAGCTTGCAGAAGCACTGCCCCCGAGATTTTGTCCTTAACAAAAAATGAATTTTTATCAAAAATTACGACACAGTTGTTATCAACACATAATTTTTGAATAGAAAGTAAATTAAATTTCAACTGAGGCACATGATAAACAGATTTTAAAATTAAAGGGCGGCTAGACGAGGGTATGGACACATCACCAACATGACAAATGGGAAGTTCTTCACCATTAGCAACACTAATAGAAGTAGAGCCGGAGTAAGGAGATTTATTTAACAATATACCTTCTGATGCCGTCATATGAGCGGAAGCTCCCGAGTCGGGATACCACAAAGCCGAATTAGTTTCTCCCGAATTGGTCATCAAGGCGGGTGCAGATGGCTGAGAAAAGCGGGATGGACAAGCAATTGCCGAGTGACCTCTAGAAAAACAGATTTGACACACAATAGGAGGTGGGGCTGATCCCAGAATACCCCCATCTGATGGAAAGCCTACAGAACCATAGTTAGTAGCACATACAGATAAGGCATGAATATTTAAGCGTGACACAGGAGAATTACTAAATACAGTACCTGAAGTGGCAAAATATGGAGGCTGACCACCCCCTGCCTGCTGACCGAGTGCTGCTGTGCTGGGAGCCCCACCTGGGAACTGTCCAGGCAGTAAACCGGTGCCCTGTCCAGGTACCATATAGTCTGGTTGTGCATTTCCCTGCTGCCCATGTTGAAATCTGCCGCGTCCACGCCCCCCACGGCCTCGACCACCCCTTCCCCGGCCACCTCGGCCACGGGGAACGAAACCCGGAGGACGCGGAGGAGCTGCCTGCGGCAAGGCTTGCGCTGCAAAGGCTGGATGGGTGGCTGCAGCTTCTAGTTGCTGGAAGTATTTCTCTCGCTGTTCGACCTCAATAAGATGATTCCTAAGAGTCTCAAATGGGAAGCTTTGGGGAAACAAGGTAACCGTATTAATCATAGACGCATAGTCCTTCCCCAGCCCCATTATAGTAGATTTGAGCACCTCAGGATGAGAAACTGGACAGTTAATACAAGCTAAATCATCCACCAAAATTTTAATTTCCCGTAGATAACTGTCCATAGATTGATCAGGCTTCTTTCTAATAGTGTTCAACATGTGTTTTAATTCCATAGACCTGGCTAAATTGGTAGACATGAATCGCATCTCCAATCGTTCCCAAATCCCAAACGAGTGTTTTAAATCACGAACATCAATAAGCACATCACGGGATAATGTTGCAAACAACCACGAACGAATAGTTTGATCAACACGCAACCATGAGGAATACTCGGGATTAGGGACTTGACGACTGGGAAACTCTATGGAATAGATAGAAGGTACCTGAATTGAGCCATCAACCATACTCAGAAGACCCTGAGATACAAGAAAGGACTCGAATTGGGTCCGCCACGTGGTGTAATCCTCAACAGCTTGCAATTTAGTAGTCACAATGTTAGTGACGTTGGTGGCCACGTGAGATAAAGACTGTGCTAATTCTGCCATAGAAGGAGGGTTGGTTGATGCAGGGCCAGGCCGGTTAGCAGGAGCCGAAGTCGAGATGCCAGGGGAACCCACAAACGTGGGTCCCGAAAACTGGAGGGCCGGTGGGGCAGAGAACTGTGGCGGCGGCTCTAAGGACATAGGCGGGACATGAGACGGCGCGGACCACGAGAACACTGGCGGCAACTGTTGAAAAAGACTGTACGGGGATGGCTGACTTCTCGACGGCGTAGCAAAAGAGGAGGCCGAAAGAGAAGCACTGCTTGGCATAAGAACGGACGGCTGCAAACCTGTAGAAGTTGGTGCGTCGCTGATCTCCGCGCTAGCCGGAATGGAGATGGCTGTAGTAGAGCTGAAATTTGCGGCAGTATTCATCGCAAGGGAGGAGGACGCGCAGAACGAGATGCAGCGATCCCTAGGAGAGAGAGAAAACGGCGGAAAAAAATTAGGTATGAACCGTAGCTCGTGATACCATGTGAGAATAATGGACAGGTTACCCTCTAAGGGGTCCTGGCAGGTATATTTATAATAAGAGAGTAGTGTTTAAAATGCATTAATATCCCTAGACTATTAGTATATACAGAGTAAAACACTATATTAAATTAGTATTTCCACCGTTTTTAAATAATAGTCTCCTTAAAATGATATGTGCAGTATAGAGGTGTAAGGTAAATAAAGAAGTAGAAAAGAGAATATATTAAGAAAAGTAAAGTAATGACAAAGTATGAAAAAGAAAGTAGTTACAAGCTCGTTCCAAACTGTATAAGGGCTTTGTGCTAATTAGTGTAACTAGGTCTTGTGAAATAAAGAAATTACAAAATTGTAATTAACAATTGCATTATAATTACATATAAATATTACTCCCTCCGTCCCGCTATGATTGTCTCATTTTACCTTTTCGGTCCGTCCCACTAAGATTGTCACATACCTTATTTGGTAAAGTTTGTGTGGTTTCAAATCATTTCTACTTTATTCTTACTTTATCAATTCAATATCAACCACATAAATCCCCTTTTATTAATAACCGTGTCACCTTCTCTTGTCCCAAACTTAGGGGGACGGAGGTAGTACTATTTAATGATTGTATTTAAAGAAGTACTAAGACAGGAATTATTAATCAAATAAATAAAGATTTATTATATTATACGAAGTATAGACTACATTTAAAAATTTGGGCCTTTTGAAATTGAGAGGCCTGGTGCGGTAGCACTTCTTGCACGCCCTCATCTACGGCCCTGAATAAATTAGTTGTTTAAAGTAACACCAATGCATAGATCATGAAAGTATGTGTAGGTTTACAAACAAAATTCATTGCATTCCTGAATGTATATAGAACGTACTTAAATTAGTATATGTTACTCCGTATTAATTTTTCGACACCTACAAAAATAACAATTTTTTTTGCAGTTGCATGCATATGTTGCCTAAAACCACAATAAAAAGTGCACTTATAGTTAAAAAATATAAGAGTCCGGTTGGTAACACGGAAATCGGCTGATTCTGCTGAGATTTATGAAATTCGATCTGGCTGAAGTGACTACATTAGTTGATTCTGCTGATTTAAAAAAAATATTTTTAAAATATATTTTATTAATAAAATAAAGAAAAACTTATATGTAAAATAGCTAAAATGGTCATCTATAGTAACTTCAGCTAATACAACCATAAAAGTAACTGCAATCTTACTTTTTCTTATTATTACACAATTCAACACACGAAAACAAAAGTGACGTGTTTGGTGAAAAAAATGATTGATAAGCCTGATAAGCCGAAAACAGTGTTACCAAACGACCTGTAAGTATTGGAAATCCTTAGTTGTTGTGGTGTTAGGTACAACTAACGTAATACACAAATAACTTTGGCGCAATAAACCCAAAATATATATATTTGTTGTGTTTTAGGGAATAAAAAACAAAAAATACCAATAAAATGAAAAAAAATCGGTGGGTTTTATTATTTGGAAATTTGTCTATGCACACAAAATGTGTACATACTCGACACACATTTTTACATATTTGTCTACACACAGACAATGTGTATATATTGATGAGTTACGTATGCATATTATTTTCGGTGGGTTTTATTATGCAAATATGTGTTGCAAATTTTGTCTATATTATTTGCTGTATTATATAACCGTATCCAATCGGGAGGATCAATAAAAAAATTATAGTAGTACTGTTGGGATGGAGAAAAGCGTTTCAAACAAAACAAGTGCTCTAGGCTCTAGATGAAACAACAAAGAGCCCGGGTCGGGTTGAGAGATCAGAGATGAGATGACATGCATTCCCAAAAGTCTAACAAGCCATAACTAATTAAGGAAAATAATACCCTCTAGCGGTCAAATTTTTCCTCTCCCCGCGTAGGGTTAGTTATGGAAAATTAGGTTTCTTCTAATGTTGATTAGAGCATGGCATGGGGGAGTTGGTTTAATTTCTTTAGGTAATAATTACGGAGTATTTGTTTGTTCCAAATTTTTCCCTCGGGATCGCGGCTATGATTATCCAAAGAAGCTAATTATGTGTTGTATGCCGCAACTAATTTATTTATCTTACATTACTGTGATAACCAAATACCTTGCAAGAGATCACATGGGTTGAGGACTCAAAATATGAATTTGGTCCATTAAAAGCACTTAAACACTCTATAAGCGTATTGTGTCATACATTCCCTATCTCGGTAGCTCAATCAAGTGGTCGATAAGGAGTGTTTAAGTGCCTCAATGGCCTATTGCCGTGACATCACGAGATCAAATCCAAATCTCCTTAATTGCTTGAGTTACCGGGATTTACTTCCTCCATTCAATGTTAGGCCGACTATTAGGAGACACCTAATTAAATTAATCAGTTAATCAGCCTAATTGAATTACTTAGTTAATTACGGTTCCATGTTGGATTAGGAAAATAACTTTGTGAATTTTTAGAATTTTTATGTAATATTTGGCACATAATTGAGATGAGATCGTTCGATCAGAGACTCTCAACTCTTTGCTCCGAGCCCATGTAGTGTCCGCGTAAATGTTAGCATTGGCCCACCAAATAATATAGGTTGGGCAGAAAATCTCTTCTACAGAAAATTTTGCACAGTAAAATAATTAAAATAATCATTATCCAATTATTAATCACGTGTATAGTCGGGTTCTTCTAACAATAAAACAAATAAATCGGCTGGATAGTCTTATCTCGATGACGTGGCAACCTCTTAGAGGCAGAACGGCCAGCATAAATCCAAATACTTAAGGGATAATTAACAGCTTTCCATTCATTAACCGATCATTACCTCTCCCTCTTCTTCTCCTATTCATCCATTCTCAAAAACAGATGAGCTCAAAATCGCATTCGAAAAATACGTCCGGACGAAGATATTATATTCAGAAGAACTGCCAATTTCAGGAAGATCTTTTCTGTTTTTATCATCTGTAACAATTTTTTTCAATTTTGATTGAGTTTTTGCTTTCGTCTCTGCTAAAACGGATTGCCGTGGAACCCTCCTCCACGGCGGAGAGAGGAGGGAGAGACGACGTCGTACTCATTCCGGCGGTAGCCATGAAATTGTAATGATTCGAAATTAGCAGTTTGTTTGAGGAAATCTGGTGGAAGGGAAGGGAAGGTTATAATGACGAGACAAATCGTTCTATCGCCGTCGTTCCTGGAAAAGCAGCAGACGTTGCTGGCTGTAGATCCAGAAGCATCATCCACCGTGCGTGGAGGCGGCCATAAAAGGAGGCCGAGTTTCGGGGAGGTGGCCGGTGAGACGGCGGCGGATTGCGCGGCGGTTTCCTGCTGTTGCCCCTGCATTCTGGTGAATCTCGTGGTGCTGGCGGTGTACAAGGTCCCCACCGGGCTCTGCCGCAAGGCGCTAAGGATTAGGCGGCGCCGCTCTAGGCTGCTGAGTACGGATCGGTGGCCGCAGAGGCAGTTCAGCTTCAACGACGGATCCGAACTACAAATCTATCACCTCTCCGCATCGACGCCGGCGGCGGCGGCGAGTTCTCTGGAATCTGACAAAGCTGTGATTGAGCTGGAGAAGGAAATGTGGGAAAAGTTCTACGGGGCTGGTTTCTGGAGGAGTTTCTCCCAACGGAGTGACATAACTGACCTTTCGCGCTGACCGTTTCAAAAAAATTACCGCTGTAAAAATGGAAAAAAGAATTTCAATCTCACATTTTACTGGCAATTTTTTCATCTGATCTCTGTTTTGTGTTTGGGTGTTGTAAATATGAAGTTTGACGCAAATGTCAAAAGGAGAACTGGTTTTACTGTACCGTTAAAAATGAATGGTAAAAACCATACTATACTATATTCAGTTTTGGAATTGGCAATATCTAATTTGTTTTATGTGTAATTTTGGATGAGATGTTCCAATCGTCAAGTAGAATAGTCAATAAAATTTGTATGTATACCTGATGTACATGCGCCAACTGCATAAATAAGCCAATTTCAACTTAGGTAGTACTAGTTTTGTCTGTGTTAGCAATTTTTTTTTTTTAAATTTGATCAATCATTTAAAATAGTATATTTATAAGAAACTTGTAAATATAATATACTCCGTCTGTCCTTAAATGTTTGTCCTACTTTGACTTTTGTGATCTTCCTGACGTTTGATCGTAGTTATCTATTAATATATACCTATAAATTCTATAATAAATTGACATCGAGTTGTTCACGCCATAAAACGAGATAGACGCAACTTGCGTCGAGTTGGATCGCCAAGGTTTCTAATTCCGAAGAGTGTTGACAACCGGTGTTGGACGTGGGTGCTGGCAGATTAGGAAGAACTTTGGTGGTTTTTTATATTGTGGGTTGTTAGTTCCAATCAATACTTGTTTTTCTTTCAATTACTTACTGTGTGGCTCCAAAGACCGTCTATGAATTGTCTTCAAAGCCTTCACGTGGTTAGGGAATTTGTATCCTCATTTGAACTAACTATGTAAGAACGTAATGTTAGTCTTTTTTAATTTCTTTTTAGTGATGAGAATTCAGAGTACAAGTACAGGAGTAAAAACACCAATCATATTTATCTTAAATTGAGATAAATAATAAAAATAACTAGAACCTAGGCAGAAAACCAATTCATTCATCTTACAACAAAATGCTGAGATCCCAAATCAAATTGTAGTAGTACATAAAGTTCACTGTTTCTGCTTCCCTTTTCAGAGACGTAAATTGACTGTTGAGATATGTTGTGTTTTGATGGTAACTAACACTAGATGTCTAAAATGTTCTAATCAGCCTTTGAGTTTACAGGTGCAACAAGTGTCGGTGAAGAAGAGTTTGATGAAGTACTTTCAGTATACATGTTTACATAAATGATGTTTGTATGTACTATTAGAATATATGATCATTATTTGATCAATTTTTACTTTGTAATATAATAATTAGACTACTAATTAGTTAGCTTAATTGTTAAGCCAGTTAGTTAGTTAGTTAGTCTAGTTATTCAGGTACTAAACATACTTGTAGCCTTGCCTATATATAGGCTTCTTCTTCTTCCCAGATTCTTAATGAAGTTTTCATTTTCTTCCATAGTTTTGCACGCTAATATGCTAATATGGTATCAGATGAAATCTTCTTCTTCGCTCTAAAAATTTCTTCAGAAAGATTAGCTTTCCAATCACCATGGTTAACACCAGATCCAATCCTGAGAATCGAGATGATACTGCTCTTGATCATCTCAGCAATCCTTCCAATCCTTTGTATCTTCATCCGAGCGAAAATCCAACTTTAATCTTGGTTCCAGTACTTCTTACAGAGAAGAACTACCATTCATGGCGCCATAACATGCTTGCAATGTTGGAATCAAAGAATAAAGACATGTTTGTTGACGCTTCACTTCCATCTCCGGCACCAAATGATCCACTTCGCGAACCATGGAGGCGCTGCAATCGAATAGTTATGTCGTGGCTCATGCGTTCTATGTCCTCATCAATAGCTCAATCTGTTATCTACTCTAACACAGCACACCAAATTTGGAAGGATCTTAAGGATCGATTCTCACATGGAGATATTTCCCGCATTGCTAATCTACAGGAAGAGATTCAGATTCTTCATCAAGGAACTTCTACAATCACTGAATACTTTACCAAACTCACCTCTCTTTGGAAAGAACTTGAACAATATCGCACCATACCTGTCTGTAAGTGTTCAACTCCTTGTTGTGGTGTTCTTACAAAAATTGTGAAAGAAAGAGAAAACGACTATGTTATCAAGTTTCTTCGTGGATTGAATAATGAATATGCACACACACGTTCTCACGTGATGCTCATATCTCTAATACCTTCAATCACGCGAACATTTAACCTAATTCTTCAGCAAGAGCGTGAATTTGGTACATCTCAGTCATCCAAATATGTCCTAGCAGCATTTAATGACTCTAGATTCACAAGTCAAAGTACTTCAGATACTTCACATAAATCTCGTGGTGGTTTTAATAATTCTAGAGGCAGATCATCTAACTCTCGTGGTGGTAGAGGATATGGTTCAGGCAGAGGAAGAGGAAACAAATTCTGTGATCAATGTGGAAGAAACAATCACCCACGTGATACCTGTTTTGAGTTACATGGCTATCCTCCACGTTACAAAACTGGCAATTCATCATAAAATACAACTTCCTCTGCACACCTAACTTCTATAGATCCAAATGTTGACTCCGCTGCTTCCAACTTGGAAAATAAAGCTCAGGATCAATTTCTGTTGTCTAAGGAGCAATATCACAATGTTCTGGCTCTTCTTCAACATTCTCAATCTTAGAATTTCTCCAATCCTTCTGTTCATCATGCTTCTACCTCTGATTTCAAACTCCCTGGTAAACCTTCTTCCTTCATATACTGGATTATTGATAGTGGAGCCACTGATCACATATGTCCATCACAACACCTTTTTTCTAATCTACAATCAATGTCTCCAGTCCATATTAAACTCCCAAATGGAACATTTGTCACTTCACAATTCTCAGGAATTGTTGTTTTAGAACAACTAGTTCTTCATAATGTTCTATTTGTTCCCTCCTTATCTGCCCATTTGATCTCCATTTCCAAACTACTTTCTGATTCTAATCAAATGGTCATATTTGATCATTCATCATGTTTCATTTTGCAGAAAATCAATTTGAAGAGGATTGGCATTGCTAAAAAGCATCAAGGCCTGTTTTACCTTTCTTTTAATAATCACTTGATTACTGAGTCATGTAATAATGTAGAGTCCAACAATGATGTTACAGATTGTAGTCTAGCAAATAATGTTGATACATCACTGTTATGGCATCTCAAACTGGGTCATGTTTCTGATACTGTTCTGAAACAATTGTCTACACAATACAACTATATTCCTTATTCATCTTTTTAGTGTTGTGATATTTGTCATTTTTCTAAACAAAAGAAGTTACCTTACCCAAACAGCACAACCAAATCCAATAAGTTTTTTGACCTCATTCATGTTGATATATGGGGGCCTCTAGCCATTTCATCTATGGAAGGACACAAATACTTCCTCACTGTGGTAGATGATTGGACAAGATTTACTTGGACACATCTTTTTACCAATAAAACAAAAGTCAAATCCATCCTACAAAGTTTCATTCTGAAAATTGAAAACCAATTTGATGTCAAACTCAAAAAGATTAGATCCGACAATGGTAAGGAATTCTTCCTACCAGACTTCTATCAGAACAAAGGCATTGTTCATGAGACCTCATGTGTAGAATGCCCTCAACAAAACTTTATTGTTGAAAGGAAACATCAACATATTCTAAATGTCACTAGAGCCTTTCTTTTCCAAGCCAAACTTCCTAAATCCTTATGGTCATTTGCTGTGAAACATGCAATTCATATCATTAATAGAGTTCCCTCCTCAGTTTTTAACGAACAAATCTCCATTTGAGCTAGTTTTTCAATCAAAACCTGACCTCACAAACTTAAAAGTGTTTGGTTGCCTAGCCTTTGCTTCCACTTTGACAGCCAACAGATCCAAGTTAGATAGCAGAGCTCACAAATATGTCTTTCTAGGTTTTAAAGAAACCACCAAAGGATACATTTTATACAACCTTCATTCTGGCAGCATTCTTATTTCTAGAAATGTCATTCTGTATGAGAATCAGTTTCCTTTCCAATCTTACACTCAATCATCTAATCATTTTGATCTCAATGTCCATAACCATTTCAGTAATGATTCTCTCATACCTCTCTCCCTAATGACTCCAATATTGATCAATTAACTGAGTCCAGTAATCAAGTCAATGATACAAATAAAAGAATAAAGAAAGCCCCAGGATACCTTGATGCTTATTGTTGTGGCAATGCTTCTCTTTCATTCTCTACACCCCATTCTCTAGAACCCAAACTTCAAATGCCTAACTGTTCTCCTAAATACACCTCATACTGTAATTCTCTTTTAATGCAATCTGAACTCTCATCTTTCAAAGAAGCCAATGAACATGAATGTTGGATAAAAGCAATGATCAATGAGATAAATGCTCTTGAAAACAACAAAACTTGGTCTTTAGTAAGATTACCTCCAGAAAAGAAAACAGTGGGCTGCAAATGGGTTTATAAAGTCAAACTAAAATCAAATGGTTCTATTGAAAGACACAAGGCTCGTTTAGTGGCAAAAGGATTCACTCAAACAGAAGGAGTAGATTTCTTTGAGACTTTTTCACCAGTGGCTAAACCGACAACTATGAGACTTCTTCTATCTCTAGCATGTACAAACAATTGGCATCTACAACAATTGGACATTGATAATGCTTTCTTACATGGAGAATTAAAAGAAGAAGTTTATATGGGACCTCCACCTGGACTATCTCTCCCTAAACAAAATCTGGTTTGCAAACTTCAGAAATCCATATATGGCCTCAAACAAGCTCATTTCTGCACTTCGACAACTTGGCTATAATCAGAGTCTAGCTGATTACTCATTATTTGTCAGAAAGCTTGACAATTCAATAACCATCCTGCTTGTCTATGTGGATGATGTCATTCTTACTGGGAATGATATTGATGAAATAAAAAGGGTCAAATAATCTCTTCATGAACAATTCCACATCAAATATTTAGGAAGTCTAAAAATACTTTCTTGGTCTTGAAATTACTAGATCTAAAAAAGGAATCATTCTGAATCAAAGGAAATGTTACCTAGAGCTAATTGATGAATTTGGACTCTCAGGATGTAAACCAACCTCCACACCTATAGATCCTACTCACAAATTATCATCTGATGAAGGAGATCTTATAGCCAATCCTACTTCTTTTAGAAGACTAATAGGACGACTTATATATCTCACCAACACAAGACCATACATCTCATTTGCTGTGCAACAACTCAGTCAATATGTTTCTTCACCAAGAGAACCTCATCTATCTACAGCCTTGAGGATACTCAAGTACCTTAAGAATTCTCCTTCTCTTGGATTGTTCTTTTCATCCATGAATAATCTTCAGATCAATGTTTTTTCTGATTCAGACTGGGCAACCTGTCCTGACACCATGAGATCTGTCACAGGTTACTGTGTTTTCTTAGGCAACTCACTAATTTCATGGAAATCAAAGAAGCAACTTTACAGT